CGCCGGAGCTGAGGCGATCAGCCCTCAAAGCCAGGAGCGATTCAAACAAACGCGACCTCACAGTCCACATCAAAACAATTGCTTGACGGATTTTCCGACATCGCCAGTAGCTGGATGCGGCGCCGGAAGCAAGGAGGATAGCACCAAGCAGCACACGACGCAATCGCAACAGCGTTTGGAAATCGCAGAAGCGGACGCCACGCTAATAAAGGCAGGGATGATGTCACGTATGCTACAAGAGCAGTCAGGACCGATTAAGACTGACATTGCAGCGGTCGAGCAAGACGGCGTTTCCCACGCAGTTTCGGAAGAACAAAGAAGGAACATGATTTTTACAAGCAGCGATTGATGGCAGTATTTTGCCGTTGACAGCATGAGACATGAAGGATGCGGTTTCGATGCCTCTGTCGGCAGCATCCAGAGCAGCTCCTAGCCTGACTTCGCAGTTGGGGATCGACTGCACGAATTGGAACGCGAGGTGGCCAACTTACGGGGGAAAGGGTTTTCAGGACCATTTTGCAACACCACGACAGCAGCGATTGCCTACCACGTCCACAGCAAACGCGCGGCGACTGCGGCATCCGATACTTTACACATGGCTTCGACATGAACAACACAGCCGCAGCACGAATGCGGGACAGGCTTACGACGAACGCTGGCCTATACACACATGGAGTGGCATTGGCCATTTTTCGTTTTAGTGTCGATTAGATGCTCGACCGGGACACTGCCGTAGCTCTCATCAGGAGTCTGCAGTTGACGCGTGGCGACAAGAAGCGCTGGGTCACGCGCCTACGGATCCAGCCGCCCGGAATTTTAGTTTATGCTTGACATGCATGCTGGGGGAGTTCCGTGCACAGTCAAGATCGTTGTCGAGAGCCCATATTTGGTGCGTGTTGGAGGGGCCCCCCACTCGCCGCCACCATAGATGGGAAACACTTGAAGCGGGATGGCGCGGAAAATTGGGAAGCGTTGGCCGAATTACACACTCATTGTCCGCGTTGGGAGCTTGCGGAAGAGTGTGACATATTATTGGCGCGGGTTGCCAGTGGCATGCAACGCAACCCGGAAGGTGGATCAAAGGGAGCGAATTATCATCAGGGCGATCGGCCGGCGTTGGTTGAGGCAAGACTAACGCCGGAAGGGGTTCCATCGATGAGGCCAGGCACCACGTTCTCCACAGGAGCCAGGATGACATCACGGAGAAGCGTCGCACAGCTAATTGCACCCTCTCCGTGCGCCATCACCTTGGTCCAACCTGCCACCTCCAACATCCGACCCCGTTCAATTCCACAGCGACTCCCAGTTCTGCTTTCAACCCGCGCCTCGATCTTCAACATCTCCCAGCCTCGTCGGTTCCAGCGCCAAGGCTGCAACAGCGGCGCTAGCGACTTCCTTGCCCGCCTCGGCTACTGGAGATGGGATCTATCGCAAGCTGTTGAATTCTGATCCTCGGCGACACCCCCGTCGAGGGCGCCGTTCGACCAAGGGCGGCACGTGGGCAATCGCTGATGCCGGATATCAATGCCCCCCCCCTGCCACGCCGCCCGAGCCGACCGGGCCCCCGGCGCGGCATGTTCGATGCCCTGGCAGGAACGGCCCAAGACAGGAACCTACCGCAGGTGACATCCGCCCCCCTTCGTTTCACTGCCGGCGGATACAGGCGCGACGCCATCCATTATAAATGCAATTGCCCTTTTGATTTCCCGCCCCTAATCCCGACCTCCAGCCCCGGACAATCACCGCGCGATCTGGATTTGCAGATCGCGCGCGCGCATTTCATCCAGCAGCGCGCCGAAGGGGCGCGCGTTTGAATGTCATTGTAGACGTCCGCGTAGGATCTGTCGCCCGAGGACTTCGCCCAACTATTGCGGCGAGGAGATGATCCACCCGCCGACTCTCGCGCCGAGCCCCGCCTCGGACCCTAGCCCCCGCTTTCGGCGGTCACCGGCTTCGCCGCTTCCAGTTCCGCCCCCAATCCAATGCCGCGCGCGCCGGATGCAAGCGGGCATTCACGGACGAACGGTTGCGAAGCTTTCGCAAACGCTCGCCCATTCGGATGGCTTGCCGCGCGGCGTCTCACCAGCTCCTCCTCCGCCATCCCAGGCCCCTGCCCTCCCGGCCTGGATTCGGATTCATGGGCGGGCTTCGCGAACGTCGGGCTCGATGCGACTCCCAGACATCCGACCCTGGCACGCGACTTTTCACTTCCACCTCCACCCGTTCACTTCTGGCCTCCAACGGCGTCCAGCCCGTCGCTTCCGCCGCCGCCCGTCGACCCCCAGCCGCTGATTCTGCGGCCTCCAGCCCCCGGCGACCGATTTCCCATGTCCGCCGCCCATCGGCCTCCGGCCCCCGCCAGCCTGGCAATCCGACCCCGAGCCGTCAGCGCGCGACTTCGCGCCGCCGCCTCCGCCCTTCGCTAACTCAGCGCCCCGACATCCAGCCCCGCAGCGCGGCATGTGATATCCCATTTCCATCGCCCATAGACCTCCAGCCCCCAGCAGCTCAGCGCTCAAACCTCCAGTTTCAAGCATCCGACGCCCCGTGCCCACTTCCGCCCGTCGCGTTCCAGCCGCCGCCGGACCGGCCTCCAACGCCCGAGTGCCCATCGCCACTGCAGCCTATTGTTTTCCAGACATCATCAGTTCAGCATTCTGACTTTCAGACAAACCCGCAGGGCACTGGGGGGGGGGGCAAGAACGTATGGCACAACCGACGGCGACGCCCCCATCCGCTCGCGTCTGGACCACCTGCGAGAGAACGACGACGGCGACTACCACCAACAATGCACTCCAGCCCGACCTCAATTGGCAACCCATTCATTTTCGCATATCCATAAACGCGAGGAGTCTTACAACCGACGAATATATAGGCACTGCTGCACGAGTTGAATGGCGCGCCAGGGCCCCTTCGCAATCGGTGAGGCCCGGGGAACGCAGCCCCGTGAGATCTGGATTACACAGCGCGGCGAACACTTTTCCATGCCATCGGGCTATCCAGACGCATCGCGCGGAGTTGCAGCTCTTGCTCCTCGGCGACACGCCCAGCATATCATGCGCTTCGAGGCCATTGGCGAGCGAATCGCTCGCGTTGACATCGACGTCCCAAAGCAGAACATCTGAGTCGCGATTGCGGATCTCCCTCATTTCGGCTACGCTGGCGCTCGCGGGCGGCAGGTGCGCAATCGTTTGGATGCGACTCACGATGCCGCGGCTCAAACCTAGCGGAAACGCGCCATCAAGGAATTTCAATGCACAGGTTGGCAATCGCCCCGACAAGAACGACGCCGAAAACGACGACGACGAACGACCAGGTACCGCGGGCCGGAGACATGCACTAGGCAAGTTCGGGACGGGCTTGCGCAGCCCGCGAGGGGCGCGGCTTCGCGCTTGACCGAACGCGCGGAACCCGATCATTGCAAACGCGTTTTCCGATTCTGACCGCCGCAACATGTTCATCTATGCGAGTAGCGGCGAACGCCCGACCAGCACTTCGCAACCCAGTCATCGGTTCTTTCGCCTCCAAAGCCCTGGCCCCTGGCCCCGACGACCCGGCCGCGCGCGTCGAGATTGGTTTTGGAGCAACGACGACAAGGAAGAAGCGGCGCGCGCAATCACGACGCGACGCTCGCGCTCATCCACCAGCCGACGACCCGCTCTTCCAATTGCATGCGCAATTGCACGTGGGAGATCACTGCCGCGACGCCGACGTAAATCACAGGCTCCGCGACGGCGGTGAAAGGCAATCTGGGTGGATCTGACAGGAGACCACCTGGGCAACCTGGGCGATGGTCTGACAGCGCGGCTCAGAGCACGCACCGAACAACGACGCAACGTAGCACCACGAGATGCCGCTACGAGACAATCCCTCAGCCATCAAACCTTACGACTGACAAATGCCATCAATCGCGTCGATGCGAACGCCAAGCTCGAGGGGGTCATCTACCAGTTCAAAAGCACATGGGAAATGCGGTTCGAAGACAAGCGAACACACATACTTCATTGCGCCAGCGAAGACACTAAAAGGCATGGGGAATACAGACAGACAGAGCATAGCTTACGTATTTGCCACTTTCTGCGAGGAGTTGCGCAAGGACCCACGCTGCGCAGACAACGCCAGCGACGCTCGAACAGGGACGCAGAACGGCCCGGCAATCGCGCATTGTACAATGAATGAAATCCACTTGGCAATGGAGCAGCTGAAGAATGGCAAGTGCGAGGATGCCACGGGATTCGCGTCGGAGTTGTTCAAAGATAGAGGCGCCATCGCGCAGCGCCACCTGCGCCGACTCCACAGCGACATCATCGAGCCCGACCAGACCCCCCCTAAAAAAAAATCGTGGAATAACAATACAATCATTATGACTCACAAATCTGGAGGCCACTAGCTACCGAAAAACTACAGGCCGCCGACTTTCACCCTGCATGCTGCTATATTGATTGGTGCCCCGCCTCCTCTGCAAACGGATAGCCTCTCCGCTCGGCTCTCGGGAAGCCGAAAAGGCGAAAACGCCCAAATCCATCGAAATTAATTTTGCCCCTTGGGGCCCTCTGGGAAGTGTTCTTGGCGGCCTCTTGGGCCGTCTGGGAGCCATCTTGGGCGTCCTGGGGCGATCTGATCGTTTCCTGCAGGCGTCTAAGACCATCTAGAGGGCCTGCTGGGGGCCTTTCGGCCGCTCTTGGGGCTCTTGGTAGGTCCTGAGGGCAGCGCCCAGGAGCATAACCATCTCTTATGGGAACTTGCCAGGGACCCGCCCGGGACCTTCCTGGGGTACTTTTCTGCCGCGGACCCCCAGGGTCCGCCAGGCGTGCGCGAATAAGAAATCTTGTTTACCAGTCACCAGAGATGTTAGCACGCCTTTGGCAGGGTGGGCTAGCGAATTGTTTCGGCTGATGAGGTGGGTGGGAGAGGTCCCGGAGGAGGCGGCAGTGTGTGGCTCTTCCCCCCCCCCCCCCCGCGCCGACGCCGCCTGGCCCGCCCCGCGTGCCCGCGGGAAGATCCGAACTTTTGCGACAAGTGCCAGACTGGCGCCCTCACCCTGAACTGCACCGCGACGGGCGCGCCCGCGCGGGGGGAGGGGGTGGGCGCACCTTCTCTGGCCCCCTCCCCACCCTCGTCGTCCTCCTCGTCTTCTCCTCTCGTTATTATTATTATGATTCTTCTTATTATTCTCCTCCTCCTCCTCCTCCTCCTCCTCCTCCTCCTCCTCCTCCTCCTTCTCCTCCTCCTCCTCCTCCTCCTCCTCCTCCTCCTCCTCCTCCTCCTCCTCTCCTCCTCCTCCTCCTCCTCCTCCTCCTCCTCCTCCTCCTCCTCCTCCTCCTCCTCCCCCTCCTCCTCCTCCTCCTCCTCCTCCTCCTCTCCTCCTCCTCCTCCTCCTCCTCCTCCTCCTCCTCCCCCCCCCCTCTTCACTCCTCCCTCCTCCACCTCCTCCCTGCCCTTCTCCCCCCTCCTCCTCGTCCCCTCCTCCTACCCCTCTTCCTCCTCCCCCTCCGTCGCTTTCCCTGCTGCCTGCTGCCACGGCAAATTGGCCCTGGGACTCATTCGTTCTCGTCTCGTTCTTGCTCTTGTCCGCCCTTCTCTTCTTTCGGTCGGTGCTACCCAGTCATCCCTTTTCCCAATCTGATGATGGCCTTCGATCCATCCCGCCACCATGCCCGGGTTGTGGGTCTAAGGTCTCTTGGATGTTCGTTGGGATCTTGCCGAGGCCTATTGGGGGCCTCCTCGAGGCAGTTTGTAGGCCGCTGGGTACTGTTTTGGGGCCTCGTTTGAGCCTTTTGTGGGCCTCGTGGTAGCCTCTTCGGGGACGTTGGGGGGCCACTTGGGGCCTCTTGAACGCCTTTTGGGGCGGAAGGTTCGGATTTTCGGTTCGTGCTCCCCCTTTTGGGCTCCTCTTGGGGCCATCTTGGGCCCTCTTGGGCCGTCTTTGGCGCCTCTTGGGCCGTCTTGGAACCCTCTTGGGAGCCTCTGTGGCCGTCTTGGAGCGGTTTTGGACGCTTCTTGAGACGTTTGGTCTCCGAGGTCCTCCGGGGGCCGGGGTATGGACGCCCCAGGCGAGGCTCCAAGACGCCCAGAGGCCTCGATCCTCAAACCTCGATTCTCGATTGTGTGAGGATTGCGCTGTTTATTCAAGGCTCGGCGGAGCGCCAAGGGAGGAAGTGAGAGGGGGCTTCTCCAAAGGCGGTTGCGCGTCTCAGAAGCCCTCCGGCCTTCAGAAGTTTTCTGTGTCTCCAGGGAAGGCATGGAAAATTCGCCCGAAGACCGGAAGGATTCTGAGAAGCTCCGCCGCCTTCTGAAAAGGCCTGCCCTCTCTCGCTTCCCCCCGGGCGCGCCGCCGAAGGACTTCAGGGGTCTGGAGTCGGATCCGCCAGGCGTAGAGGCCGTCTCCTCGAACTGCCGCCTGTCGCGCGAGTGCTGCGCCCCTGGGGGGCTGCTGAACTCCTCGCTGGTCTACCCGATGCTCGAGGAGCCCGCCGCCGTCGTCGTCGTCGGCGTCGGCGTCGGCGTCGTCGTCGTCGTCGTCGGCGTCATCGTCAGCGTCGGCGTCGGCGTCTCCGTCTCCGTCTCCGTCGTCGTCGTCGTCGTCATCCGCGTCGGCGTCGGCGTCGGCGTCGGCGTATGCGAAGGTGCTTCGGCGGCTCGCAAAGGAGCGGCCCCCACGGGCGGGAGTGAGGTTCGAGTTCCCTTTCGACGTTCCGGGGGCCTCCAGAGCGGGGTCCTCGTGGCCACGGTGGCCTCCGCCTCGGACTTCTTGTCAGAACGTGCCCCGGCAGGGGTCTGGGGGGTTGACGTCGCCGCAGCCGCCGCCGCCGTCCTCATCCTCCTCATTCGCCCTTCGGGGGTGCCCTTGGTATTTTATCCGGTGCTCGTGGATCCTGCCGTCGTCGTCCTCGTCGTCGTCCTCGTCCTCCTCCTCCTCCTCTTTTACGTTGGGCAAACATTAAGGCCGAGCTTGCTGCGTTCTTTTTCCTCCTCCACGAGTAATTGTTAAGGAGATCACTTCGGGGTTTTCCCCAGCACCGCACCGTTATTAATTAATTCCAGGGTGGCATTCTCGCCGAACGATATCGTCAGCACCGCGCGAGCTCCAAACAAGTGCGTGCGACCTGTCAACTATCTTACGATTGTCTCACGATGTCCGAACGATGTTCGTCTGGATCTCGGTGAGCTTCGTCTGTCTGAGCGTTAAGAAGATTGGACTGCGGTCTGGGCAAAGTGCTGAGCACTGAGGGTACGTCCGATGAATTACTTACGCAGGACGAAAGATTTTCCTGTTGAGGTGAAAATGGCCATGAGGAGTTCGCGAGACAGTGTCGGCGCCGCCGAACGGACGGCGACCAGACGAGCTGTTTGCAGCAACAGGGGGGGGGGGGATGTATGTATGTATTCATGTTGAATGGGGCCCGCTCGCGCGGGGAGTTGATGGGAGTGCGCGAGACGACGCAGGGCCCATCGTGGAAAATTGATGACCGAACCCCCCTCCCCCATAGAATCTTAACA